TAAAACTCCACATGGTTCCGGTACGTGGACGACACCTTCGTCATCTGGAACCACGGGAGGGAAACTCTACCTCAATTCCTCACTTTCATCAACTCCCAACATCCCAACATCCAATTCACAATGGAGACCGAACAAGATTCCCAAATCCCCTTCCTGGACGTCATGGTCCGTAGGAACGAAGACGGCACCCTAAGCCACAACGTCTACCGCAAACCAACGCACACGGACCGATACCTCCACGCAAACTCCCACCACCACCCCGCCCAAAAGAATTCGGTAATCAGCTCTCTAGCCCACAGAGCACTCTCTAACTCGGAACCAACCGCCCTGGACGGAGAGCTAAACCACCTTCACCGAACCCTGACCATGAACGGATACAGCAGCAGAAACATCAACCGTACCATCAAGAAGCTGACAAACAAGGAATCCGGCCAGAACAACACCACGACGCCAGAGACAGAGAAAGAGAAGATTAAGGCAGTGATACTCCCATACGTCAGAGGCACGGTCTTACATACAGGTCTTGCAACTTCGATGGTGGGGGTGTCTCACTTATTGAAGTCACGCTTATTAGTCAGCCCTACTAGATAGCAACGACACTAGTGACCAGAGGGTGAATTATAAAACGCGGCAAATTTAAAAACAAATATAACTTGGCAAATAAAATGCGATACTGACTGACGAGCGATAAATCCGTTGTACGGAAACGCCATGGATATGTTATTTGGCGTACTCTTTCCTCGTGTGGTCTCCGTGTGGTTTACGATCTTGTCTCTACATTATTTTTCCGATTTTTCTGGATCCAATACGACCACGTCTAACCACTTGTCGTCGATTGTTCATCAATATAGACGTGGTAGAATTATTTGAGCAAGTTTAAATTTATTACCACAATGCAGAGACCCAACTATCGGGCCTCACGCGGGATGACAATCGGATGATGTAACGTCGAAGATAAAAATTTCTCTTCTAGGTTAGAAGAAGCTGCTCACTCAACGTCCCAAGCGGAACTCGATGGACAACGTCAAGATCAAGAAGATCTTGGTCAAGATTATCAACGGCTATATTAGCCCTACTAGATGGGTAGCGACACGTGGTGGCGTTATCAGGAATTAAAAATTGCTTCAATAAGAGAGCTACCCCCACCACTGAAAATCTTCTGAGTTGCAAGACCTGTATATACGACCGTGGTCA